TGGCTTGTGATCAACAATCTACTTCTGCACAGCTTTATCAGAAGGAAAAATACCGACTGTGATTGTTTTTATCTGTAAGAAACTGAGTCATTTTAGTGCTGTGTTTTATCATGACTTTTACCCTTTGTATTGCTCTGGATTTCATACAACTGTTTTCCAATGAGCGTTGATGTAATATAGTTTCTGGGTTATGCAAGCAGTATCCTTGGAAGGAGAGCATATTTTAGAGCCCTTTGTAATAGAGAGAATTTGACGCCCCAAATTAAATCCCATTGTTTCCATGGTAGTCCCAGCATGAAGGAGGCACTTATAAAAAACAGTTGAATGTATGAATCAATGAAAAAATATACTAATTTAAAATAAAGTTGTTGCCAGGTGTAGTGGCACACACCTGTAATCCCAGCACTCTGGGAGGCTAAGACAAGAGGATAGTAAACTCGAGCCTAGCCTGAGCCACTCAGGGATTTAGCAAGACCCTGTCTCAAAGTAAAAAATAATAAAGGGGTTGTGGGTGTAGCTCAGTGTGACGGCCCTGGGTTCAACTGCCAGTACCACAAAAAGAAAAGGAAAAGAAAAAGAAGAGTTGTCCTGTACACCAAGAGATATTTCTAGAAATGTATTTCCAGGAAATTGCTGCAACTACCTAGTCATCACTAACCCAGGAAAAATGCTAAAGGAAACAGCCTTTTAAAGTTAGAAAAGGATAGGAGAAAGTCTTACTCTGAGAGAGTTTACAAGTTCAGGCAGTGTGAGACCCTATAACTTTGGTTCTATTGCAAGGTCGGGTCTTCACTTGGGGAGGGAGCATTTGAAACAACTCCATTCTGCAGGTGGCACATGATGCACCCGGGGGGTCCACTCGAAGGCAGCTTAAGATATTCGTTCACAGGCTTGAGGTGTCTCCTGAGCCAGGGGCAACACTGCTGCGGACACTGGGAAAAGCACTCTCCCCGAGACCATAGAGGAGAAATGGCCCCGTTGTAGTGCTCTTGTTCTCTTCTAATGACGTTGGTGGTGCTGTGCCAGGGCTGGGGAGCAGAATGCAGATCACAGGACAGTGAGAAAGAGAACAATTTTCACAGCACAGAAGCAATGAGATGAAAATGTGCCATAAACCAATGGAACGTGTGTGTGTGTGTGTGTGTGTGTGTGTGATCTCCTAGTTCCCCTAGAGTAGACCTTTCAATCACGAAATAGCTCACTGGGCACACATGTCCTAGGTTCACCTCCACCGCCACAGGGCTTCACTGTCACCTACTCAGAGGGCATTCCTCCCAGACCCGGAGCCCAGAAACAGATCCTAAATAGAGGGACAATTTTAAAGCTAACAACAACAACAAAATCAAAGAATGAGCTTTATATATTTTATGAATCTTTTTAAAAATCCCCTCAAGGATGTTTGGATGGTATCCTCTGAGGAATATATGCATTTTAGTTGAAAAAATGTAGTTAATTTTTAAAAATAATAGCTTAGTAATGGAATAAATATAACTGTTCATTTTTATTTAGAGTATCCCATCTATCTGAACACAAGTATCTATGATCTTATTTTCCAAATTTAAAAAAGGATCTATTTTTAACTCTTTAGCATTTAAAGGAGGGTGCCTTCCTATGACAAAAGCCATATTGCCAGAATTAGCCAATAATAAAAACAAGAAAACATGGCACTTCTTGCCAAGGTGACATTCAGAGTTGCTTCCCCCATCCCCCAAAGGAAACTAGCAAAGAGTATCTTGGCCAGGGAGCCCTCCCCCGCCTCCCCCCCACACCCTTTCCTTCTCTCCTACCTCCTCAAAGCTCATAAAGGCCCTTTATTGCTCATGCACTTACCCACATAGGAAATGTATCCGCGGTACCTAGGGTGTTTTTTTTCATTTGTTTTCTCTTCTAACATTTGATCACTGGCTGGTGAACTGTTTGGGCCCACAGAGATCTCCAGACCACCAGCTCATGTATTTGAAAGACATCTGTTTATTTGGAAAATGCAAATGTGGCCTACCTCAAAGACTGACAGGCGAGAGGTGACCCACTGAGCCAGCCAGGGAGAGGCTTCCAATCTGGAGATCACTCCCAATAGAGCCACTTAGCCCAGCCCCAGAATCCCAGGGCAGGGCTCACAGTTAAACCAAGCCACCTCGGCCCCCGAGAATCAGCAGGCAGCCTGCTTCGCACCCAGTGGAAAGTACTGAAGAAGTCACTGACAAAGGGACGGGAGCCTTGAAAGGGTGGCTCTCCCACTGAGGGCTGCCTGGTGGAGGGCCCCAGAGCAGGACACCAGCTCCTACCAGTGGCCACTGGTCCTCGTCCTCGTCCTTGGGAGGAGAAAGCCCGCCCAGGAAGGTTAATACCCGACTTTGATCTCTGTCAAGGCATACCAGCAAGAATTAATTTACATTTCAGATGAAAAGGTTGACAGCATGAAAAGGCAGCTTGTTGCTGGTGTGTGAATGTGCCGTAATAGATCGGGAATTCTGAGAGGAAGTTCTGAGGAAGCTGAAGGGATAAGCTGCGGCTGCTTTTATTGGGAAGGAGATGAAAGGAAAACAAATTTCAATATGCGTTGCACTGCAGCAACATGTAGGCCAAATGCTTCCTAAATTTCAAGGGCTGCGCTTTTAAAAATATATAACATATCTTAGCAACACCATTTTTTAAAAAAAGACCACTGGGGGCCAGAACCGAAAGTATAAACAAATGCATCCAACAACAAGCTTTGTTGAAAAACAATTAGAGGTAAACCTCAGAAAATGACCTGAAGTGGCTTTGCTAAGATAGCCTCCTTTATTTAAGCCTCCACCTACAGGTTTCAAAGGTGAGGGGACCTGGAAACCCCCTGGAGGCACAAGGAAGAGCTTACACAGAAGGGGTTTGGAAAATCACAACCCCAAACAGACAATTCAGAATGAGGTGCTTTGCTTTTTAGATAAACACAAAACTGCCTTAAATCTAAAGATAAAGAAAACCGTCCCAAGTAAAATTATGCTGCCCATAAAATGTAAATGCCTTTGCCCCATCCAAGCATCTTTCCCACCAGGGCAGCACATGTCCAAGGTGTTAAAGAAGGGCAGAGACTCCAGAGACCGTCTGCTTTCTCTCTGGCTGCCACAGAGCATAGCGGTGGCGTTGGAGGGTGGTGTTGGGGTCACCTTTGAGGCTGCCTAAGGCCCTGCAAAGTCAGTTAATATATGTTCTAACACCATTTGGTAGGTAGGAACACTTTAGCTGTGAGGTTATGGAAGGCGGATGCTTACAAAATTGAAAAAAAAAATGTGGTACCATGAAGAGACACGTTCTCCCCAAGTGGCCTAAGCAAAAGCACCCTATCCTACAGGTGCTTCATTGACCAGATGCTGGCATTCCTGTCCTGGGCCCGGGATGATGAAGCAGATCTCGCTGCTTTGATGCTGTGTTCACTTGGCATAACAGGGCGCAGAACAGGGAGCCCCTAAAGACGATTCTCATATAAGGAAAACTGGATTGGTGATATCTGTATACTGGCCTCAGTGGTCCAACAATATACAAGCTCAGTTTATATTTTAAAACATATGTTGGGATTTGGGCCAAACTGCCAGATCAGAAATCAGCCTAGTATCCTCTTTTGAAGGGAGATCCAAGTGTGTGTGTGTGTGTGTGTGTGTGTGGTCTGTGTGTCTGTGTGTGCGCGAGCGCGCATGCTTGGGGCAAATGGAGAACAACTGATGCTCTTTAAGTTGTCTTTCTTAAACTGCGACAATAATTGCATCCCTCTTTCTGAGACTTTGAAGTTGTGGAATTTAGAATTGGTAGGAGAAGGTGTTAAATGTTACACCTTTACATTTAAATGGCACCCCTTCCTCCCAAATATTTTAGTTCTGAACTACATCAGGCTTCAACGGTGGCCTGAGAGTCAGAAAAGAACCCCTGGAGCCAGCTTCGGGCAGACCTGAGCCGAGGCTGCAGCTGTCTTACTGAAGAATGTGCTTAGAGCTCAGCAGTGTCTGAAACCTGACCTCTCTCCCTGTCGCTCGGTCCACTGGCCTCTGCCCTCATTCCATCTCCAATTTCTCCAGTGTCTCTTGCTCACAGAGATCCTGGCGGGCTCTGCCAGAGCCTCATAGGAACATGCAGCTTCCAAAGAGGGAGGGAGGCCCAGCCTGGCAGCCACAGTGGACACAATATGTGTGGGAGAGCAGACTGACCTGACAGCCGGGGAAGGAATGGATGGGAGTTACTAGAGCTCACACAACTCAGGGTGCCGAGGTCAAGCTGAGTCATAACAGCCACGATGTGCTCACCCCATGGGCCCCAGAGGACCATGCCTACCACCCCAAGGCCTAGATTTGGGAAAGTCCTGGAGTTACTCCTCCCACATGATGCTGAGAGGCAGGCCTTGAAAATAATCAGACCTTTAAACCAGCGCTCACATTTCACAGACAAGGGACTCTTGATTCCGTGTGAGACCAAAATTGGTTCCCTTAGCAGTATGCAACAAGGTCTCAGTCCAAACTGCATTCAAATGTTGGCTCTGCCACCAACAAGCTGTGAGATCATGTACAAGTTACTTCTCATCTCTGGACTTCAGTTTCCTCCTTTAGAACATCAGGACTATAAACAAGACCTGGTAGTACATGCCAATAAACTAGCACCAAGGCAGGAAGGAGGATGTCAAGTTTGAGTCCTGTCTGGGGAACTTGACAGTACCCTGTCTCAAAATAAAAAATACAAGTGCTGGGAGATGTAACTCAGTGCAAAGGCCCTGGGTCAATCTCCAGTACTGAAAAAAAAATGGGATTATAAGAGGACCCACTCTCAGCCTCTTAGCTAAGTGTGGCATGCAGCAAATGGTCAGGGTGGCCTTGTACACACACACATGGAGTGCGTCAGAACAAATATGAGGACCCCCAGAACGGCTGACTCACTGCAGGGCTCCTGAGTTATTAGCCTTTCAGCTTTTCTAAACTCATTTCAGCATAATCACAGAATATTTTCAAGTGGACACTGGGAAATGATGTTTTAATTACCTGCTTGAATATGAACAGCAGACTCACTCCTTCTGTTGCTTATTTTCTTAAATTTCCTCTGAGCATCATATCTTCTCCAGGCTAAAAATATAAAACCATGTGCTAGGAATGACATTAATTTAACAGCATGCCAGAGAATTGATATAAGCTGTTCCCCCTCCAGTCCATTGCCTCTCTTCCTGCCCTGCTTTCTCCCTGAACAAAATAAGCAGAGATATGTGAGCTATGGTGGGGAAGAGGAGGCCTCTCTGTACTCACCAGTGGCTTTAAAAATGCTTCTGGGGGGGCTGGGGATTTAGCTCAGCGGCAAAGCGCCTGCCTGGCAAGTGCAAGGTCGTGAGTTCGGTTCCCGGTACCGGAGAAAAACCAAAAAAAAAAAAAAAATTAAAAAAAAAAAAATGCTTCTGGGGAGCCATCTTTGTTCAAACAGTAAGTTTCCAGAACACTCTGGATCCCCCACAGGAGTCACTTGGGCCCCCAACCCCAGGTGAGGTGGTTCCCTGACGTTCCAATCCATGGAGGGAGTCTTGTCTTCAGGACTTGGGGATGCCATATGGGGGAGGGAGCTTGGGGGGATGGTGTGGAAGGCACTAGAATAGCCTGACCCTTTTAATGTTTTCTATTTTGGAGAAAGATAACCATGAGAGTCACAGAGAAAGATAGAGGGGAGTAATAACGGGACATAACAGTGGCTGACGGTGAGCTCAGAGCTAAAGAGCTGCTCAGGTAGGGGAAGCTGGAATGGGGGAAGGCAAAGGAGATGGGGCAAGAAGGAGAGACCAAAGGAAGGGGTTGGGGAGAGGGGGGTTAATCCTTTGGATACAGACTGAAGCATAAGCCAGCCACTAGGGGCTTGAGTGGCTCTCTTGACGGCCTGCTCCCCCAACCTCAGCCTGAGTATCTCCACTATCCAAGTGGCTGAGATTGCTTAGGACATGTAAAGTCAGCCAAGGTACAGTACGGTTCTAGCTTCTGATAGTGCAAAGGAATCATCCACCATGTTCAAGATCTGGTATTTTAACAACTACTCATCCATAGCACAGGAGTGACACTGCTGTCTGGAGCACACACAACCCGTGTACAGAGCCACCAGCTAGGCTGGCATAGGAGAGACTAGAAGTTTGCTCCCTTGGTTTATAGTTCTGTCTGGGCTAGAAAAGCCTGCTGGAATGGCATTGGTGTTATTGATGTTGAAAACCAGCCAGGCCTGGAAGTGTGTACGTATTACCTCAGCCATTCTGAGAGATGGGATGTGTGTCGGGTTTTACATTACCGGGTCCCTCACAATATCTCTATCTGGACACTTGTCACAGTGTACTGTAATGATCTGTGTGCCTCTCTGCGAGGTCAGAAACGCTGGTGGTCTTCTTAGGGCTGTAGCCCTAGTACCTAGTAAGGTGCAGACTTGTGGTAGACACTTGATAAATATTTGCTGAGACAAGGAAGGAGGCAAGAAAGAAGAAAAAGAAAAAGGGAAGTGGCCACTTAAAAAAAACAACAGGTGAGTAATCCTTAGTACTTAACAAAATGCCAAGACTTGGGGCAGCACTTATGAAACTGGTCCACTTACCTGACTGGATGGCGATGGCGCCCTTCTCTCTCCTCTCTCTGACTCTTCTATATCTCCTGGCTCCAAGCCACCCCTTGGTGTACGCCTGCAGCACAACCACTCTGCCCATGACTTCTCGCAGCAGCAAATTTAATTGCTCAACATGGTAATATTTGAGAAAAACCTGAAAAGAGGCATTCGTTTGCACATTACTCATGGGCTTCCCAGTAGAATCCACTCTATTCCAGCATATTTAATGTAAATATTAAAACTATGATCTAAATGGAGTTGATTTGATTTATACTGTTATTACTGATATTTTGGGGGCAAATACAATTCCCATTCTCAGGCAGCTGAGCCTTAATTATTGATGTAAGCAGAAGGCAAGGTCTCCAGGGCTGAAGTGACCCCAAATGCTCTCCAGGCCTGCATGGCATCACACAGGGGTCCCACTTTCTCAGCTTGAGCTCTGCTGTCTTTTCCTACAGCCTCTCACAGATGCGTAACCACAAGGACCACCCACGGCCAGCACCTGAAGTTGGAGGAAGAGGGACCTGGCTGACCCACTGGGATCTAATTTCTGCTGAAGAGCTACCACCAACATTCAGGCTAAAGCTGACTCTGTAGGGCAATTCAAGATGGGGCCATAAAACCTGGCATCTTGCAGGGACACAATGTTGCCCAAAATTAAAAGCTACACAAGATGAAATTAATAACCAGGATGGGCAATAAATAACACAACACGAGTTTAGAAAAAAACGAACCACACTATAGAGGAAACTCACCACCAGCATAATATGATTTGTCTGTTTACATGTGTGCTAGAATATAAAGGGTTCAAAACGAGAGTTTAAATAAAAGTAAAGTAAGTTCAAAGATCTAGAAGTGTGAAGCGGCTGTCAAAACACATGCAGAATTTTTCTCCTCTGGCCCCTAAGCTCTCTCTGGGCTCCTGACTCAAGATCAGCAGAGATCGTTTTTTAGGTTAGGGTCTCACCAACTAAACTACACCACTGACAAAGCCATCCTGCTGATGAAATCAGTGACAAGAGAGACCATCCCGGGTGACAATTCGAACAATAAGAAACAGCTAACCTTTGTCTTTCCCAGCACCCAGTGATCTAATCTGGACTTTTCCAAGATAGCAACACAGCTCTCTTTGCTAGCAGGCGGTGTTTGATGTGCTTTGAATGCCAAGTAATAATACCTACAAATAAAAGAGAGAAATGAAATATTTTTTTAGTAATCATTCGATTTAGTACAGTTGAACTGCTCTATACTCACTGGCAAGCCTTCTTCTTTCATAGTAAATATTTCTTGAGCACCAATAATAGCATATTGGGTGGTAAAAGATACACAATTTATTCTTACTAACTTGACCCCTACTTACATTCACATTTTCTATGACATGAGTTCTCGTTTTAGTGTTGTCTCATGAATTCATGTTCAGTGCATACTTGGTGTCTTTTGTTTGTAAAATAAAAATATCTAATCTTTTGTTTTTCTGAGACAAGGTCTTCCTATATAGTCCAGGCTGACCTTGAACTTAGTATGTACCCAGACTGGCCTCGAACTCACAGTCCTCCTGCCTCAGCCTCCTGAGTGCTGGGATTACAAGTATGTGCCGCCATACCTGGATCCTAATCCTTTTAGAAAGCTGAAATTTAGACAACTCTCTTAGTGAAAGTCATAATTTTATTTTATTTTTAGCTCTACTTATATATCTAAACTTAATCTACCATCTTATTAAATTTTTGGCCTCCCCTGTTTCATAATCTTTTTCCTCCCTTCCTACCTCTTTTACATTATTTTTGCTTGCTTTATTTATTTTTGTTCTTTTTTACTAGTATATATTTCCAAAACAAAATAATTACATTTGTCTTGGGGAACTGGTACATGTACGTATTACATCTCAGTTATGTTGTTTCTTTCCTTTTCCCCTCTCTGCCTATCTCCCTCATCCTGAGACCTCTCTGAAAATCCATAGTTTTAATTGTTAGTATTATTATTACAAAAATAATTTACATCCCATTGCACATATTTGACTACTTTTAAAAGTCCCATCTGAAGCAATCTAGAGCCAGCAAATGATACCAGCCCAACACCGTGGATTCTCCCTGCTGAACCCCATGCCTTGTTCAAGGAGAGGAATGGACATGTTGACTGATAACATCACAAAACCACATTTATTTTCTTGAATAACTTCATCTTAGTGAGCTTTTAAACTTTCGGAGGAAAGGATTTCTGGGTAGACTTGAAGAACACCACTGCCGAGGAAAAAAATATCTTTTCTTGACCCGTTCTAGGTTCATAGCTAAGAGTCCCGTAACAAGAGAAAAGTTGCCAATTTATTTAAATTTTATGTGACACTGGAACTTTCTTCCTCAAGGAAACAAAGACCTCAAGAAATACTTAAACAGGTGCATTTTTAGGCCGGGTTCCATGGAGGAGTCACAGAGAACTACAACTGCACAAAAGGACGTGACCTAGTGATAGAAACCCAGTACTCATCAAGTTCAGTGTGTTCCGTTTCCACAGAGACGCGCATGCTCCTTTGCTCTGGGAATAGGAAAGGCCACTCCCTAGTCCCATAAGTAGGGTCTTTATGACTCTTGTGGAAGCTCAGAAAATCTGCCCTAAATTCTGTGACTGCCTCAGGGAAAAGGGAAGGGAAGGGAAGGTCAGGGTGACCGCCGCGCCTCTGCTGTTCTCTCAGATGCCTAGCTGGCCACCATGTTTTGAGATAATGTGTCCTGCATGTCATCATTACCTAAAGGATTTTTTTCTCCCCCTTTCCCCTCCTCCTTCTCCTTCATCCTCTTTTTTTTGGGTTGTTCCTGTTTTTGCGGGTGACGGGACAACTGAGAATAGAACCCAGGACCTTGGGCATGCTAAGCATATTCCCTACCACTGAGCTACATCCCCAGCCCTTCCTTTCTTTTCTGTTCTGCCTGTTTTGTTTTGTTTTTTTAAACATAACTTGTTAAATATCTTATCCTTTCAGAAAATCTTACCTTTCCCCTAGAAACGTTCAAGGATCTTTTTCTTGCTCTTTGCTGCCATCTATAATTAAATTCAACCCCTCAGAAACTTAAAAATAAACCTATGTCTTTGTCAAAGAATTTTTTTTGCCACTCCTCAGACAAGGCTGTTCCGCTATTTAGAAATTACTTTGAAATAAGTGTAGAGCTGTTTTTACTTTTCAAAAAAAAAAAAATCATCAAAATATGAAACATGTATTTTCTTTCTGTCAAATGCACCCATACCTTTCTGTTTATGGAAACATAAATATACCTGATTAGTACTTAAGTTAACCTTATTTTTGTGTTATACAACCATTTCTAAAATTACAATATAAGGCTAGGATTGCTGGAAACATTTGCACTCAGAGATCCTGGGACAGTTTCCAAAGTCTGTTTGCATCTTTGAGGAACAGGGACGGAGCTCTCAGAACCCTTGAATGGTGACAGGAACCAGATGATGGCGGATCTTTTGACCAAGCCTAGGAGCCTGCTGAGAGCTGAGATCCTGGAGGATTCAGTGGGAGGAGGGGCATCCAACAGTCAAGCAGGGGCCTATTTGGGCAGTTGATGGCATCGGCCCATATTCTTCCACCTCTGTTTCTCCAAGACTGTAGTTTTAGTTGTAGCTTCTCTGACTTGGGTCTGGCTACAGCAAAAGATTTGTGATGATAATATTCATGCCCAGCTTAGTTCAGAAGAACGTAGGTAATAGTACTACGGAGAGGTGAAATCTCAAAAGCTAACCGATAAATGACACGGCTACAACAATCAGCTCAGAGGGGTGTAACGTGTTTCTTCATGGGGTAACTTTGGAATCTAGCAGGTACCATGGTGAAAAGGCACCACGATTGGGCTCCTGTGCTCCACTGTAAAGGCGACACGGAAGGGAAGCAAGTCAAGAGATCTGCCAATGACGGGGCATCTTTGGAGGGGGAATCTACGCCACCTTCTTCGTAAAGTAGCTTGGTGCTCCTGGAGTAGCAGGAGGTGTGGAAGAGCACATAATAAGCATCCTGGTCTCTTTGGAGGCTGTGGACACTGAAATGCAAGTTCTTCCCTGTCTTATAGATCTAACTGATCTCACAGGCTGATCACTGAGTTAAAATGAGTTTCTGTCTCTTTCTATGGGAAAGGCATGCATGTGCATTCCTGAATTCTCACAGTATGGAATAGGAATTAGATATGTGGCTCTTAACTCCATGTATGTATGTATGTACGTATGTATGTATGTATGGTGGTAGATGTGGGGCTTAAGACTCATTGGTACAAGCTACACATATCTAACTTAGAAAATGCTTTTAGTATAACACATGGTATAAAATGTTTGGAGCTCCACATAGCTCCTGAAGACCCTTCAAACAGCTAAGAATTCTTAGATTCTAGAACCCAATGAAAGCTAATACATTTCTCAAAAGTTTCATTTTATTAAAATAACCACCAAAATGGTAAATACTCAGTTGAAAAACATTTCCAAAATGTTGTTCAGCTTTCTCTTAAAGATATTTTGTTTTATAAAATGTGCACTGTTCAAGGAAGAGCTTTCAAATATAAAAGGCAAAGCAGCCTGTGAAATATTGGTTACACTTCCTCCTGTATTTGAATGACTGAACCATAAATTGGAGGGATCTGTAAGGTTGTAGGTCGTGTTAGTTCTTTAGTGCTGCATAACAAAGGATCTTAAAATTTAATGCTTTAAGAGACAGGCATTTATCAACTCTCAGTTTTTGAGGGTCAGGAACTCAGGAGTCCTTTGTCTGGTAATTCTGGCTCATGGGGCTCTCATGGGATTATAGGCCTGCAGTTGGCTGGCACTGAAGGGCCCACTTCCAAGTTGGTCCATGCACGTGGCTGTTGGAAGGATGCCTCATTCTCTCCCACACAGGCCTTTCCAGAGGATGGCTTTTCTTAGGGGGAGGTGGAGAGAGAGAGAGAGAAAGACAGAGAGAGAGAAAATATGCAAGGAAGAATTCACAGTGTCTTTTGCAACCTAGGTTTAGAAGTAAAACCATCGATTCTTCCATATTCTTCTACTCATTAGATGTGATTCATTAAGTCCCACTAACACTCAGTGAGACAGGAATTAAGTTCCACCACTTGAAGAGAGGAGAATCATAATTTGTGGACTGTGTGTGTGTGTGTGTGTGTGTGTGTGTGTGTGTGTGTGGCACTAGAAACCAAACCCAGGGGTGTTCTACCTGAGCTACATTCTCATCCCTTTTTATTTTTAGACTGAGGTCTCATGTTAAATTGCCCAGGTTATTAATTTACTCAAAACTTGGCATCCTCCTGCTTCAGCCTCCCTCAGGGCTGGGAGTACAGGGTGCATCAGTGCACCTGGCTAGTGAACATATTTTTAAACCACCACAAAGGATATCTAGATCGTCAAGTCTTTCTTTTGATGAAGAAAAGCACTGTCAGTGATATGAAATGATGTAGTCAAGTCAACAGAAAGTAAATGTCAAAGGCTAAAATGATTATTCAAGTTGCCTGACTTCCAGGTTATGGATTTTTTTAAAAAGGAACCCATGTGAATATAGCTAATGAAGTTTAATTTTAATGTAAGGAAAGGAACAGAAAAGGATAAAAGTAAATGCTACTTCTTACCAAGATTGATAAATTTGCCAAGTATGAATAAATTTTTTTCTACATGAAAAAAATTGAAAATTTGGAGAGAATTTATCCTTTTTTAGCTTCATTATCTGTTTAATTGCAATAGTATTTCCATGTTACATTTACTATGCAATCTACAAAGCAGTCCCAGCAAAATGCTGCTAATCTGAGCTCTTCTGGACACAATGTGGACAGAACTGAGCTGGTCAGACTTTGGATTTGACCACCACGTGTTGCAGGTATAACCAAGGAATCTGGAACTTGTTGGACAGAGTACTAGGAGAGAGCTGAAGAGAGAATTAGGGAGACCTGTGGAAGATCTCCTCAAGTATTCAGCAGGGTACCGGTGAGCACATGCATAGGAGGAAATGACCCCACCCCTCAGAGAGGATCACAGAGAATGTGCCTGAGGCCCACACAGACTGGGGATAGAGCCTGTTCCTACCGTTAGTTGTAAACACAGCTCTCGTCTGACCTACAAACCTTACAAGCGAGATCTAAAAGATAAAATTATTTCCAGCTAATTTAACTGGATCCCAGGGTGAAGTACAAAAGTATTTATAGGGATACAAAG